ACTCAAATAGTCCTCTTTACGGAAAAGTATAAATTCTAAAAGCTAATATACATATTTCGAGAGAAAAATGTTATGAATTTAAGCGTATAGCTAAAAATGTCAAATCAGTGACTAGTTACACAAGAAAAATATTTATTGAAAATTCTGTGAGCTTATTTGTTAAGCTTACACCTACATTTTTTCTACTTTCATTTTTTTAATGAATCCTTAAAATAGCACTAATTAGATCTTATAAATTCAAAATGTAACTTGGTACATCTTTTTTGCTTCTCGATCAATAATCCCCTTACGTAAACACCATAGATAGGTAGGTATGTCTATGCAAAACATTACAAAATACACCAACCACCCTTATTAAAAAAAAGGGCTCTGTAACTCGGAATGACGAGAAAGGGTCACCACTGCATTGCCAGCCTTCCCCAACTCCCTTTTTAACCCATCCCTCCCCACATTCTACGCCAAAACATTTCCTCCAATTACAGTAGCCATTTAGAAGTAGATAAAGATCAAATTAGAATACTTTAATTTCTCTAATTCGCAGACTGAGATACCATCGAAATATTGTTGGTCCAAATTAAGTTTATTAATAGAACTACATTCTTTTGAATGTGATCTCGGAACTTGCTGTGGTTGATAACAGATATTATCTTACAGTCACGTGCAGGCCTAATATAAATATGGTAGAAGAACAACGATTAAGTGTCATGTTACAATAAACAACATAAATTCATTCATTATTTATTTCATTTTTTTATTTTTGATTGGCCGACGTTTGACCACTATCTCGCCTAGTGGTAAGCGATGATGCGGTCTACGATGGAACACTTCGTCCCATAAGCAACCTATTCACTCGGGCCTTGAAAGAACAAAGAAACTGGCACTGAACTGGCAAAGAACTGGCAAAGAACTTCACTCCTTAGCAGTACGCCCAAGGAAGCTTGAGGAGAAGCGCTTCGTACATGTGGATGCGACATCTACCATGAATCGGTGACGTTTCGCTGATTGTCTTGTGGTACGAAGATGGAAAGGACTTCATTTTAAGAAGATTTTATGACAACAAAAGAAATTTTAGAGGATCTTTGTGATCAAAAACTATTTCCTTTGTTCAGAAAGCTCTTTAAATGTGTGGCTCGTACTCGTTTTTCAAAATCAATAAATGAGCCACGAGTAGGTTTTAACATAATTAAATTATATCTTTTCAATAAAATACTACCTCTATTTATCGCAATCATATATCACAAGCATCGGGAATTCCAACCAAACTTTAATTAGTCCGAATCTCTTTGATGTATAAAACAATAAATTCTATAGTCTACGTACGTCACGAACGAAATTCTATCAATCAAAAGTGACGCTATTATTGTGGGACCAACAAAAAATATATGTTGGAAGGAACTTGTACGTAGAGGTCTTAATTAACAAGAAACCGGACAAGTTATCTGGCTACTGATGAAAATATTTCATCAATCATAGAACAGTTGATTGATAATGCAACGTGAATTACTGATAGATCATGCTGCCAACCGCGGGAATGCTCATCTCAATTTATTTACATGTGTTTGTATCAGTTGTTGATGTTGCCAACGGTAAAAGATAGTTTTTAAAGCAATGAGGTAGATTATGGTGGATGTGACTTATTTTTTTTCGTGACGCTTTACATTTGGATTAAGCTGCTTCGTTGGCCGATTGGTTGGATTAAATTCCCGGGTCGGTCAAAGTACGTAGGTATTTTAGGGTTTAAAAAAAGAACTTATTAGTAGCATGTAGCAATGAGTCTGGAATTGTGCCCGGTATATAGCAATAGGCTCACCCCCTATCGCATATACCACCCATAACATAAATATTGAACAGTGGGTGTTACATAATATAGTCGCATTAAGTTCCATAATGTACACCTCTGCTTACCCCTTCAGGGATAAAAGGCGTGATATTATGATATGTTTAAGTTGGTTCATGATATGTTTAAGTTATTGTGGATTTAGAATTCATTCAGTGACATAACTTACGTATGTGCAATAGTAAACTACAGGCTCTTAGCTGTAATTAACTATTTCACAAATAAAGAGATCACTAGATTCACAATCACCGTTTTATTGACAGTCATGGTTCTTGTATTTAAAGACTACAAGTAATTGTCTTAGAATTAGTGTTTTTGTCCAGATGCTTCAATCAAGCAATTGGTTTAATGACTAAATTGAGCGACTTTGATTAATTCTAACACGCAATCATAATTTATTTATGAATGCCTTAAGGCATTAAGTCCGCCATTCACTTATGTATTTTGTGAAGAAGAAATAAATAAATAAATAAATAAATAAATAATTTCTTTGTATCTGAAAGGCCGGTTGCGATTTAGTCATTCGAAGAATTTCAACCATAATTAATTTATTTGCATGATGTCATTGTGGTAGAGCAAAATGTTTGTCTTGTGACGTTTAGTAGAAAAGGGATTGTAAGTGCGACTTTTGTTAACACCTACGATCAGTGATGTGATTTTTATCAAATATTGATAAGGTGTTTTCTTAAAGCATAAGCCGGTAAACGAGCAGACGGATCACTTGATGGTAAGCAATCGGCGCCGCCCATGGAACCCCCGAAACACTAAGGCGTTACAAGTGCGTAGCGGGCTTTTGGGAATTGGGAATTTAAGGATTGTGGAGAATTCGGGGATTCGGGAGACTAGTCTCCCGAATCCCCGAATCTCCGGTAACCTCACTCACACGACAAAACACAACGCAAGCGTTGTTTCACTTCGGTTTTCTGTGAGGCCGTGGTATCACTCCGGTCGAGCCGGCCCATTCGTGCCGAAGCATGGCTGTGGTACACAAGTGTGAAACAATTAATGTGCTTGTACGATTAGGTGCATCAATGAATAGAACCGAAGGATATATTTATATGGGATATTAGGTGATGTTTTGTACTACGGGAGTTTATATAGATAAGTCTGTTTATGACTATGATGTCATCTTCCTACCACGTTAACAAACATACAAATAAGTACATCTACACACCTAATAATTTTCTCCATACACTCCGTCGCCATTTTCATTTCACCGATAAAAAACTGCCTCATCCATCATAACATACGGCCGAGCCGGACCGATCATAGATACGAAAGCTAACGAACCGTCGGATGTGATTGAAAATCATCGCAAAGGAATGATGTCCTAGTCGGAAGCCATTATAAATCATTGCCAGACGGTAGCCCATACATCAATAAGGTCGATTATTTGATAACTTCACACAAAACACGGCCAACGCTTGTTTTAAATGGGAAACCAGTTCTATGTGTAATTAAAATAAAGTTTCTATTAAATATTTTCTATTAGTGAACCGTTTTCGATGTCGAATGAAAGTTGTGAAGGTATTTTGATTGGCAGTATGACCTTTGATGGGTTTATAGACCTGATATGTGATTTGGTGATCGTGCCGATGAGCTATGCTATCTATTTATTACGTGTTTATTTTGACATTATTCTAGTGAGATTGAAGTTTCATTATGTGAGTAAATTGATTTAGAAGATACTTTAGGGTCTCAAGAGTTTAGAATTTAGATTGTCATTAGATCTGAATGTAGGAGATTTATGTTAAGTAATTCCAGACTCGTTAGTTATCTGAAAGCTGAGTGTATTAGATTACAAAATCAGTCCAAGTGAGATATCTACCAAACATTTCAACAAATATCTTGCAAGCCCAAAAAACAATAAGGAAACTTGTAAATAACGAGGTCACTAAAGCTCAGTTCACATGGAAGCAAAAAATATGTACAATTACTTAATTAAAGATCGGATGATAACTAATGCAGGTGTAACCATCGGAGATCATGAAAAACTCCGGACATCAATTCGTTACAAATACGATTCTTTAGTTACACCTCGTTGAGTCAAGGACTTCAAACTCATTCTGTACACAATAAGAAAAAAAAAATGATACAAATTAACCGATTGAACCTGTTCGAGGACCCCTAAAGAGCGAGTTTCTGTTAAGTGAACTAATTTATACTCACCTGTATCATAAATAAGAAAGAAACGGCTCGAGTGTGAATCATCCCACGCTTTACAAGTTCCGTATTATTTAAAAATATATTCTATTTGTGTAAAAATATTGGATTTTTATTCATGTGTATTGCAACTATATGTTAATGTGGAGATAAGATGGGAATAAACAAGTATTGTGACGGAAAAATAACAAATAAATAGTATTGAATTGAAACAGGTGGATAGATAAATTAGATTTCGTATAAACAGTGGAAAATGGGTTTCGTTGATATAGTGCAAGAGCCACTGCCAAGTACCCATTAGAATTTAATTTCTATTTTCAGGTAAAACTAGATCAAGGATCGCATCAATCATTCTTGTATTGTTCTAGTGTGTAGGTACTACAGATCTACCCAATCACTAAAAAGTCCCCTTTTATCAAGCTTTCCTTTTAATAAATAGTAGACTCTATGAGATGTTTTCAAACAGTAGAAATGATAAGCTATCAAACATTTGAATCTTTTAAAAATCTTTCGAAGAACTTAGATTACGAACGTTACGTCGATGACTAAGCGAATCTCCGTTCGTTTCATATTGAACCCTAAGTTTGAGAGGCGGCGTGCTATTTTATTGAAAGCATTTAATATTTTTATTCGATAAAACAGACGGTGCCGCGGTTTAAAGAGATGTTAACATGTCATATAGAGTTCGTATGTGCCAATTCTTTGGTTGTTACGAGATTACACGCTGAGTCATAAATATTCGCTTGTCATATCGCATTTAATAACACTGAATACCATATTTTCATTAAAACTTGTAATGTTTGTGACTTTTACGACTAATTGGATTGGGTGTGGATTTTATTTTTATTTTGCACAATTAAATTTATAACTAGCGGCGACCGATAAAGCATCATATTTTTATGTGGATGTAATAAAAAATAATCATTTATGAACCAATTAATTAAATGTGAACATTCCATTCGTACAAGTGAACTTTCTTTATTCAAAATTCCCTTATCATTCAATCATATCCGATCCTCAGCGTTACCTCTCCTCTCACTAACTGTAACATTAGAGTATTATTAGACATACCTACATATAAATTAGTTTCTGTTTGGCGCCCGATATTAAAAAGGTCCTATTCGGCTCGAAGTATTCCATTTCGTCTGCCAGTGGGGGGTTAGACCGTTTCAATCGTTGCGACAATTAATCACAGTACAGCAATGTCATCCGACACACCGGTCCGGCCGAAAACACGCCAGACGAATTTATTGAACCTTTTTTAACTTTTTTTTTATTTTCGCGCGGTAAAACGTATGGCGAGATGCGATTGTGGGGTACACAACGCATTCTGTCTGGCAACTGTAGTGAACGTTTTTATGTTAATTGTGTGTAAAAATGTAATTAGATACTGCAAATGACTACTTATACCCTTTTTAAATTATAAAATATGTTTAAATGCGTTGTGGTTTTCGCCTCTACCAATAATTTTAATGTGTATAAGAGCAGATTTAATAAGCAATTAGCATTCTAATTAGCTACATTTAGCATAACAAGAACTTATTAGCTTTTAAAATAAAGCGGATTTTATATACTACTTTAGAATTGCATATTTAAATTCGCATCTCTGAATTTGCTTTAGTAAATTGTAAACCATGATCATGTGATCATGGTTTACAATTTACTAAAGCAAATTCTCTCACTAACACTATACTTCTCTATATATGTATATATAATAAATCCTCATTTACTCATAGCTGCAAACTATTGAAAGAAAAATAACTCAAAAAATCTAAGACGAAGATTGAAATAAAAACTTGATTATTATAATAACACAATAATAAAAAGCCTTATAGTCTAATAATCACATTAAAGCTTGCCAAATTGATAATAGTATTAATACAAAGCCAGTGTCGAATTGTACCGGAATATTTTAAGATCATTTGTTATTTCACTGTGAGACGTCAAGAGTAGGAGCGAAACGAATTCTGAGGAATCATTTCGTCCGTTACACTTTTTTTGAGAAACTAACCATCATTGTTGATAATTAATTCGTAGTGAGAACTTTTTAGGTTTTTTTTTTCTTAATGAGCCTTGGAAAATAACAGTGTATAAGGTAAGTTCGCCTGGACGCGAGCATCCTCCAGTACGCGTCCATGTAATTGAACTCTCTTTCAAAATTTTCGAAAATAAGAATACTTACACCATGGAAGTAGTACCTATTTGGTACACACCTGTTTGTCTTTTTCACGTTTTTAAGTATCTTACATTCATGGCAATTCGTAATATTTTTCTTGTTTTTTTTTTTTTAATTTACAATCAGTCGCCAGATTATAAGCAAATTAGTTGAAGATCAAATGACGCTTGGAGTGACTATTGACATTCATCTGCAGACTCTCAAGTAGGAAGCACATCAGCTCTCTTTTATCTTTTGTCAGGCTCAGAACGCTCTAATTGATAGGCTAGTAGATTTGGTTGTGTAGAAAGACGTTCTATGTACATTTTCTTGTATTATTCAATTTCAGTTATGACAATTGAGATTCCAAAATAATCGTGAGCCATGAAATGGACGCAAACAGGCGAACTTTAGTACGGTGGACGCGAACAAGCAAACTTACCCTACTTATGATTGTTGTAAAATTGTATTCAATAACGAATATCTAACACTTAACTCATATTTATGTACTATGAGGTAGATACAATTCATAGACCACTTAGTACAATCCTAATATTATGTACTTCTTCAGCATCCATCACATTCATGCACTGGGTCATACAAGCACGCTGTTAGGGGTGCTCCATTAACATTTAAATCACAAAGTATGGTAGTTGCGACCATTAATATAACAAATTACATTATAATTATGACAAAGAGGTAATTAAAATGTTATTCGTAGTGTACTTCAAAATATTTATTGTCCACTTACAATATAATTGTGTAATTACAATAAAACGGCTTTGTTTGTAGTCTAATAATATTATTCGATCGAACCAAATTGTAAAATACGAATCGAAAACCCATTCATGTTAATTATAACGACCTCATTAACACAATAAAACGATACAATTAGTAAAAGTCAAATATTATTACCTACTAAATATTTGTTACCGAATTCATATTTAGGTGTTGCATTTAAAGGTTTAAATAGAAGAGCTTGCACGTATAAAATGTAACTCACTATTTGTCAGTTATCTTTTAGTTACATGTACTTACCTAATAGCATTTTTTTTTCTGGATAAGCCGGTAAAATAGCTGACGGATCACCTGATGGTAAGCACTGGACACCCGGAACACCAGAGGCGTTACAAGTAGGTTACCGGCCTTTGGAGGATAGGGAATCTGAGGATCAGTTTATTATTATATTATAATATACTAGCGACCCGCCCCGGCTTCGCACGGGTGCAATATGCATGTATTATATACATATAAACCTTCCTTAAGGATCACTCTATCTATTAAAAAAATCGCATCAAAATCCGTTGGGTAGTTTTAAAGATCTAAACATACATATGGACAGACAGACCGCGGATAGCGACTTTGTTTTATACTGTGTAGTGAAGTACAAGCGTAATGCCTAACTCTGTGCTATTTTACTGAGAAATTAAAAATCTGGAGAATAACGGCCTGTACCGAACCACGGAAAAAGGTGTTGCTTGTCATATAAACGTTTGCCAATTAATATTATCGTTTAAAAGCTTTAACATAAGAGCTTGTTTTGGAACAAATCATAAAACAAACATCTGCTTAATAAAAGGGTGGTCTCATGTGTACAGTCGATTTGTTCTGAATGTATAGTGGCCAGCAGGACGACCTACTACAATCTGAAATTTTTTTTATTAGATTTTTGACTTTATTATCAAAACTATAAAGTTAAAAATCTAAAAAGAGAATGGAGTAGGTTTACCCGCTGGCCACTGAAGTGAGTGAACATACGTAACTATGTAAGTACTTTCTGCCGTATGAATGCAGGGTCATGAAGTAACTTGAGCTCGAGCTAATCAAAGACGTAAAACAGGAATTTATTGTGTGCAGTGTACCTTGGCAAGTTTATTGTGCATTACTAGGTATGACGCCAATTACTCAACTCACATGTTCCAAGGTTTGTGGGCGTATCCAGATGTAGCTTCGAGTATGGGATATTCATTGTGTGTTTGACTGTACTTATAAATGATTTGTTTGTTGTTTCTAGTTTATTATTGGGAAGTAAATTGTGTTTATTGGATTGTGTGTTTGTGGTATGATTTTAATTATTTATTGGTAGGGAGAATTTGTATTATGTATTTTTGTTCGAAACAAGTGAAACAAGTGAATTTATTTCTGCAAATAGGCTACAAGGCAGCACTTTTACACGTCAATTTTATCAAGCGAACGATGAGGCCGACATTTCCTAACTGACTAACTTTCGGTGTATTTAATCACCTTTTTGGTTCTAAAATGATATGAAATAGGATGATCGTTATTACTATACATATAGTTTATTTTGCTTCCAAAGTAGCTCTACACATTTTTGTCGCAGACTGTAGCCGTTGTAGGTAGGTATAGAAAAAATATTTTCTAAAAGCACAAATATATTTTTGATTAGGTAACGTACCAAACTGCTTTATATTCCAAACCGGTACCCACACAAACATGGGCGGATTATATTGCTGAAATATTTACGTACATTTTCAGAATGAGTTCAGTAGGCTTACCTACTTTTTTAGATCGACGACATTCAGTCTATACTTTATTACCCACAAATGGCTTCAATTACCCTCTTATTACTGATTTGGGTTCAAAGCACCCTAAATTATCTACATCATCTATAGATAGATACCTATTATCCGCTTTTTGTACACAGTAATACGTCAGCCTAAAGCTAAAAAGGGGAGAGCCTTCTAATTCAAATCGTACAAATGAACGAGACTGGTTCAAAACTCGTGTAAAAAGTACAATCGGTAAAAGGGTTGCAGCAAGATAAACGTGGAATTCGTTAGAAATGGAAGGGGTGAATGAAACAGGAGTAGAAATGAGACGTAGAGCGCCTGTAATAAAACATTTCTGTGACTGTTGGGTAATGTCGAAATTACTATGGTACTATTTGGTTAAAAAATGTGAAGAACATCTTGAATTAAGTTATGATTTGAAACTTAAAATGGACTATACCACAAGAAGCTGTGACTTAACTTTCAGATTAAAATATTGGACAAAGACAAGCAAATAATTCGTATGAGTACGGTAAGAACTAATAATATTTTTTAAATGTAACAAAATCCTGCTTTGGCGAACCACCAGCGATGGATACGCATCAAGTAAGAGTCCCCAAGCTTTTGAAGTGGCGATAACGATTAACACACCAAAAAGAAATTCGATGATGCATGCTGGGTTTATTCATACCCCAATGCATGTACTTAACAGTTTTAATTTTAAAGTTTTCCGTTTAGCTGTGGTTTGCAACGTTTAATTTCCGGCGTAGAAATTATTAGGAAGGTATAAAGTGCGGCTTTGAAATCTACGAAGCTGCATTCAACTCATCAAATGCTTTATCTTTATACTTTTCAAGACAACGCAATAAAACTCGTTATTCTTTGATCTTAAAAAGCAAATAATTTTAGATATTACTTTGGAAACATTGTATTGTTTTTGCTTTGTTTTTTTTTGCTTTAATGGGTAATAATGATTAATGATATTGTTATTGTATTTGTTTTCGTCAAAGATTTTTGATGAAAAGAGAATTGGGACATATAAAGAAGATTATAATTATGTTCTGTGGGTTTAGGCATAACTTTCTTGCTCAAATTAGTATTATACTTATTACGATTTTTATATTTTACTATGATGATATGCACCTCTGTACCTTTGGGAATAAAAGGTGTGATGTTATGACGTATGTATGTTAGGTATTGTTATATTTTAATTCAGTAGTTTTTTAGGACTTAATTGATGACGTTTAAAGTTCTTTGGTTTTCAATGGATATACCTACTCTAAGAACAAAACGTTTAATAATGACGATGAAACTGATGTCCTTACAGACAGACCTAAATTATGCACAAAAAACACAATCCAAGAAAACGTTTAATAA